GTAAATTTTGGTCAATGACATGAGACAAAATATATGTGAACTGCTGTATGAAAAGTGAATTTACTCTGTAAATTTTCACCCAAATCAAAATAAAATTAAATAAATAAATAAATAAACAAAAAACTGAAGTATATGAAGAACATGGTATCAGGATTACAGGAAAATTCATTAACACCCTGTGATATGCAGAATCACAACCTTGCTTGTTGAAACAGAAGAGGTCTTAAAGCACTTATTGACAACGATCAAAGACAACAGCCACAGTGAGATTAAACCAGAAGAACAAGCAAATCTGTCTTGGAAGGATAGCCAGAATGCTTAGAAGTGAGGATGGTGAGATTTCGTCTCATGTACTTTGGACATGTTATCAAGAGAAACTAGTCCCTGTAAAAGGACATCATGGTAAAGTAGAGGGTCAGCACAAAAGAGGAAGACCCTCAACGAGATGGATTGACGCAGTGGCTACAATGGGCTCAAACATAGCAACAGTTGTGAGGATGGCACTGGACCAGACAGTGTTTTTGTTCTGTTGTACATAGGGTCACTGTAAGTTGGAACCAACCTGATGGCACCTAACATCAACAGCAGTATTAATAATATATGTGTATCATTAAATATGTTATATTATCTTAATCTAAATTATCAGTTACAACAAAAAGATGATATTTGCATACCTAATTGTCATAGCTTGTTGCTCAATTGAAAATGCTCATCTGTTCAAACCTAAAACACAGTGCTTCTCAACCTTCTTTTTCTTCTACTTTTTGGCAGGGGATAGGGTAGAGATAAAGAGGAAAATACAGAATCTCCTCTATTGAGAACTGCCTTAGCTTTATACATACGGTACATACACTGAGCAGGGGATAGACGAGAGGCATGAATCATATGCTTATGGAACACAGAGAACAGTGATGAGCACTTACTGAAGAACAATCCTTAAGTCTTCCCTTCTTGCCTCTGTTACAGGGAAGAGGGGTTTCATGGAACAAAATCAGAAGTGGCTCCAGAGAGACAGAAATTAGGCTACCCACCCATTGCTCCATTTAACTGCATGAAAGAGGATGTCCTCACGTATGTGTTCGACAACGTGTGGAGCAAAGTTCTGGGCTGTATGGAGGAGCTGATACGTAATCACTGGGAGGGATATGTTTCTGGTAAGGATCTTTGTGAAAATAATGTAAAAATTGTTTAGGATTTTCAAGCCCTTTGAGTTGGATCAACTGGACGATAACTAACAAGAACAATTAGTCTATTAATCAGATTACGTGCTTCATTAATGCAGAATGTGGATCTGGTTCATCTTTGTATTTCCCACAGAAACTCGAAGGTAGTAGTAAATATTGACAATAAATGGATGAGTAACAAGGCCTAAGTATGTCTAAGTTAGACAGAGCTTATGCTTTCTCTTTGAATATAGTGATTCATGAGGAAGAACTATTTACCAGTACCAAATACATTTTTAAACTGCTTTATTGAGGTATAATTGACAACTATACATACTTAAAATATGCAATTTAACAAATTTTGACCTATGTGTACACCCATGAAATCATTACCATAATTAAGATTGTGAGAATATTCATCTCCCCCAAAAGTTTCCTCATGCCCCTTATCTCCCCCTTCTTTTCCTACCCAACCCCCCATCTCCAAGTAACCACTAATCGGCTTTATGTCACTTAGTTTGCATTGTGTAGCATTTCTAATTTCTGAAATCTTTGCTGTTGTAACTGTGTTACTTCTGCTGCTCTTTCTCAAGGAGCTTTGTTTCCTTGTGGAGCTTGTGATTTTTAAGGGTGGGTTCTAATCTTGTTAACTTTTTGTGGGAATTCTTTAAGGCCTGCATTGAAGATCTTAAGGTTCCCCTAGAGCTGTTCTGTCCAATATAGTGACCACTGGCCCCATGTTATTGTTATGTGCCGTTGAGTCAGACCCGACTCACAGCGACCCTCCCTTGGGTTTCTGAGGCAGTATCACTACGGAAGTAGATTGCCCCATCTTCCTTCTGAGGAGTGGCTGGTGGATAAGCTATTTAAATTAAAATTTAAAAATATTTAAAATTCATTTCCTCAGTCACACCAGCCATATTTCAAATGCTTGATAGCCATTTGTGGTGGGTGGCTGTCATATTGGACAGGACAGATGTAGAACATTTGTCTACTGCTGCTCTATAGATCTTTACTTTTGTTTCTGCCATTTACTAATAAACCCCTTTAGCCTGGGTCCATGTTAAATTCTTGGCTGGAGGTTTCTATTTCGAACCAAGCAGGTGGTATGAAATAGGGCTGCAAAGATGAGTGAAGCCTAGCTTGAGATGATGAATTCTCAGGGGAGATTTTTTTTCACAGTACTGTTGCTGTGGATCTGAAGATATCCATGGATAATAGATTCTATTTTTTTGCCTAGATGATGAGAGTAATGTTGCAATCACCAGACCAGATTCGGGAAGCCCTGGTGTGCTGAGTGAACCCCAGCCTTTGGTGTTACCTCAAGTGCCTCAGTCTAAGATGCTGTCTATCACCTCAAATCCGGTAAGACCAAAGGGGAATGTACTGGAGAACCTAGGACTGTTCTTGCCAGAACAAATTTCTCAGTTATTTGTCTTAATTCTGTTATTTATAATTCACTTTTTTTCAGTATACATGTGTTTTAAGTTTTCAGATTTTATTTTATTTGTGGTCCAGGGGTTTATCACAATAATCCAGTGACTCTTTGTATTGATCAATTTAATGTCAATTAAAATTAATTGAATTAAGCAAGTTAGGATTGATTAGACATGTTCAGTCAGCTCTTTTGAAGAGTCATTCATAAGCTGTGCAATCTAGAATCAACTATGTGGTCAGCATATGCCTGATTTACGAAGAAATACATGTCAAACCAATATTAAATTTTCTGTGACCTTAACATTCTGTTTTTTGAATTTCTTCTTTTTGACTCCTACCTTCCCTTTTTTTATCAGCCTATCCTATTTTTTTCTTTTTTGCATCTCTTGACTTATCTGTCTTTTGGATGTTTAATACAGCGTACTTCAGGGATATTGTGGGTTCAGTTTCAGACCACTGCAATAAAGTGAGTCACACAAATTTTTTGGTTTCCCAGTACATATAAAAGTTATGTTTATACTATGTCTACTAAGTGTGCAATGTTGTTGTTGTTGTTATGTGCTGTCGAGTCGGACCCGACTCATAGCGACCCCTCCTTGGGTTTCCGAGGCAATATCAATACGGAAGTAGATTGCCCCATCTTCCTTCCAAGGAGTGGCTGGTGGGTTTGAACCACCAGCCTTCTGGTTAGTAGTCAAGTGCGTTGGCACTACGCTACCAGAGTGTGCAATATAGCATTATAAAAAAGTTTGAAATACTGTGACATTTACCAAAATGTGACACAAAACACAAAGTGAGAGCATACTATTGGAAAAATGGCACTGTAAGACTTGCTTGACACAGGGTTGCCACAAACCTTCAGTTTGTAAAATATGAAGTATCTGTGAACCACAATGAAATCAAATATGCCTGTACTCATAACCCAGGTATAGAAAGCAAACCAAAGTGAGGAGAAAATGAGCTTATATATGTCAGTGGACAAGCTTAAAGATGCCCGTTTCTTGCAGGAGACTGATGAGCCTGGTGTCATCCTGTGTAATGATTTATGTAGTCCTAGTTCTTACATAAGGAGCTCTGGTGGTGTTGTGGTTAAGGCATTTGGTTGCTAACCAGAAGGTTGGCAGTTCAAACCTACTGGCTGCTGTGTGGAAGAAAGATGAAGCACTCTGTTTCTATAAAGATTTACAGCCTTGGAAACATGATGGGGTCTCTATGAGTCTGAACTGACTCAATGGCAGTGAATTTGGTGTTGGAGTTCCTACATGATAGTTTCTCAGTCTTACTTTTGGCAGAGTTAGGGGGTATAAGAAACAAGAAAGAGAAAGACAAAGGATAGTTCTAATTGTTGGGTCATGCTCATCAACCCTTGGTTTTACTACCAGATCTAGTCATAAGCTTTGCTGGGAGATTGGCTATGTATTATGCAGCTGGATTCACAAAAGGAGTATTTAAAAATAAAATCA